GTAAATCATTAATTAATAAATTAATTTTGTGGGTGCGCAAACCATTGGGTTATTAATGCACGAAATATATTGCCTTAAATTGAGTAACTTTAAACTATCTCAAGGCAAACGTTTGAGCTTGTTTCCTAAGTGTAAAAAATAAATAAATAAATAAGAAGTTCGACTTTCAATGAGCAAAAGTGCCTTGGCAATTTGGTTTAAAAGTATTATTACATGTTTAATCTAATCCAATATCCAATTGAAATCGAACGCGTTAATAACGTCCTGTATTATTAGCGGCAATTATCCGAACGTAATTGATAACCTTCGTGCAGAACTTACCGAGGATACTCAGCAACAAAACGCTATACGCTCAATGATAGGCACAATGATTACACAATGCCGACAGTTGGCTATGACACCCATTGTGAAGCCTATTACGACATTGATACGCGGAATAGAGATAAAGATCGAACGTCAAGTTCGAAAAACGGATGCGATTATTATAATAATAATAATAAGAAGAATATTCGCCGAGAGTTATGCACGTAACAAAAAGTAAATTAAAAAAAAATTATATAGATATAATATTTCTTTAACTGTAGATGCATGCAAATTGTTATACAACAGTTAGATTACGCAACGATCGGTCTTAACGTGACATTTTCGTTCGGCGAGGAAGGATCACTTTATTTTCTAACTGTTATACAACAGACATTCTCGATTCCTCGTGCCTACACTCAAATTTCGGATGTACATTTACAAAAATTTCTTTTAACATTTAAGCCGACCTTTATCCATTTCTTTTTTTCTATAATTTCTATTTGCCACAACCTCTTAAACTTTTTTTTAAATATCGTGCTTATATTTTAATTAAATCTACATCCGTCCCAAATCCATTGTCCAATCAATTCAATTTTTTTTCAACAATTCTAAACCAAACTTGGAACAGATTTTAGCAATAAATTTAGAAGTTTATGATCCATCTGACATTTGCTACAGATTAAGGTGACATTTTAAATATTTTTGCAATCTTGATTCGCGTCAATAACAACAACAATAATTAAGTAGGCGTAGATTATCCGAACTTCCGGTTGCAATTCGTTATCCTTCATACGCTATTTACTCCAGAAACATGATAATATTTATTTAACGGTAGATAACTGCAACGACCATTGCATAATGTGACTTAACAGTTACCCACTAACCAACTTAAACTGAATCCTTCATCTCCTTTAAAATTAGATCGCTCATCGTGTTTGGACAATGAATCACGTACGTATCGCTATAAAACATTGTAAAAGTGAGAAAACTTTTCTCGGCTATTATCGCCGTACTGCAACTGTAGTATATATTTTGTTGTCGCACGGTGGAAAGTACATGTTGTCCTCGCGCTTTATGCAAAATAATTATTTTGGGTTCAAAAGGAAGTACAACCAAAAAAAAAAAAAAGAAACGGCGGCACTAATTTGCAATCCAATTAGAGCAAGATTAAAAGCACCTTTGCTGCTGAAAATTTGAATCGTCGCTCCGCAAGAATTTTATGTTTTTTTTTTATATTATTTTTCTCATTATTTCGTCGTTTGTATAGTTAAAAAAAAACATGGTAAAATCGAAACGCAATTTCTTTAAAGCTTTCGTTTACTTTGCGTAAAGTTGTGTTAATATTCGGTACATCTCTATTTAGTTCACCTTTCGATTTCATGGCAGCTGTGATATAATGAAAAGTGGTTAACGAGTGTGTGAAATATACGGATGTTAAATATTTAAACTGGAAGCGGAAAATCGAACGACACTTTCGACAACAACATAATAAAAAAACGGAAGAAGTAGAAATTAATTTCGCTAGCATAAAGAAAACAACATTAATTGTGTATCATAAAAGTCATCGTTTCTGTGTCGAGCTACTGCGAATTAATTACCGTTGCTATATTTAGATTCGTTTATTTTTTTTTAATTAGAAATTAGTAATCGCGCATCTCAATTTTCGAATAATAAAACCAAAATAATTGGATAGTGAAATCGATTTATTAAATTGTTAATTGTTTTTTGTTAAATATATTTGATGTTTTTTAAATATAAATTAATATTTTAGGATATACACTGAATTCGAAACGATATACGGATGATTGGATTTCTTTAGAAATCTCCCCAGAGAACTTGGTGTATACATACGATGGCCTTCAATGTGGTACCATTTACCACATCTACATATTGGCTCACAATAGGGTAGGAAACGGAAGTCCGAGCTCGATTCTGACGGTGAGCACGAAAGGTGGACCGCCGCAGGTGCCGAAAGAGAAGGACTTCATCATGACCAACGCAACAGTCCTGCAGCTGAATTTGTTCAACTGGCCCGACGGAGGTTGTCCGATCTCTCACTTTTCCGTCACCTACAAGGCTATTGGGGATCAAAAGTGGACGTTGATCTCGAGCAGCGTGTCCGGTGAGAAGCTGGTCATCCAGGACTTGGTGCCAGCCACCTGGTACCAGCTTAGGGTGTCCGCCCAGAATGATGCTGGATTATCTCACGGTGTCTTCACGTTCGCAACGACGACATTAGCCGGAGGTAGTTAATCATATAAACCAGAAACATTTGTCTTTGGAGCATGACAGGTTTTCTTGTTTCGACAGGACGTATCCCGCCGCCGCCAAGTCTGTCGGACGACAACGACGCCAGCAATGCGTTCACTTATAAGGACACGTACATTTTAATACCTGCGATAAGCATAGGCGTGCTCTTGTTGTGCGTGGGTCTGCTCTGGTGGAGCCTCTATAAGAAGCGAAGGTGGGACGCGGATTTATCTCGTTACCTAATCCACGTACAAACGAATGCCGTTCTTTTCCAGTCCGTCGGAGGACGAGGACAACCAGAGCAGGCAGGTCCAGCCCGAGGAGAAGACGGTGGACCGCGACAACCGCCGCAACTGTCAGCAAGTGTACTCCTCGTCGCCAGTCAAATCCTGCGATAAGATCCATGACGATGCTTCAGGTTGCACCTCACAAATCAATAACCAGCTGAGCGGCTTTTCATCTCCACTTTCAGGAATGTACGAGATAAGCCCGTACGCCACCTTCAGCGTGCCTGGCAACAACAGCCGAAGCGTTACCACGTCGACCCTTGATTACACAATGCAATTCAAAACATTCGGTCACATCGAGGATGACGATCACAACACGATCGCTTATCCAAAACGAGGCGGAAAGCATAGCTGGCATAAGCAACGATACTACAACAACGAAGGTTCACTTCGATCCCAATCACATCTTTCCACTCTTCCACTCTATTCTCAATCTGTGATCAATGGTTGTTTAGGTCCTGGTACTTCGGAGATGACCCGCATGAGAAGTACCTGTCTTACGACTAGGGTCGACTCTGAGTCCGACGAGACCAGCGGCAGCCCTTGCGGTGAGTTTACAGGTGGTTCCAATTATAGAGTACCTATTAAACCGGCGCGAGGTGAGAAAGCCTTCGTTGCATACACCGGTTACGAAACCATGCTGGTTTCAGATCTGTTTCGCCCAGATTCTAGCACTGAATCGAACGAGGTATCTCCGTTGGCCGAGCGTAGGAACACGCCGCGACACGTGGGACCACCTAGGAAACTGCACCGCCCTACGAGTACCAGCAGGTAGCCAAGGTACCTTAACCAATCACCGCTTGAAGTGCACGCATGCCGAGCTGTGATTCCCCTAGCTTTAGAACACGCATCGAAACAACTTCCTAAGCAATTTCTAACAATACTTTGTTGCAGTTCTGAGGGCGAAAGGGCGTTGGAAGATACATCTTCAGAAAACTTGTGTCTGCAACCCCCTTCTGGATTTTCGGACAGTCGCGAGCTCAGTGAGGCTGAGTGCGATCGAGACTTGGCGATTAGCAAACTACCTGCTGAACTTGTCACTATTTTGACCAGGTAACCCAGTAACCACAATAATCACATAACCTCCTGCTAAAACTAAATTTCAGATACCAAGAACGAAAAGAGCAGGAAAAGAAGGAATTCATAATCCACGTTTAAATTGATCGACTATCGGCAAACACCCAAATGCAAGGACTAATGGAACAATGACATTTTACTACGGAATCACACACATACACACATATACAAGAAAAAAACAAATATCTATAATTATTTAATCGTCTATATATATAAAATATCTATATATGTTAATGTTACCCGACTGAAAATGAATTTCCACTATATGTAAACAGTAATGTATAAGAATATATATGTATACATAACGAAATCCCCCTTAGAGAAATTGATGGTTAATAAATGTTAATTTTCTGTGTAAATGTATATAAGGAATCACTAAATAAAATGATGTGGTCATCGTGCGTTCTTGCTTGACCGAAGGCCGGAGCGGGCAACCTCTGAGACTTCTGACTTCTCGTTTGTTTACAAGAGGAAGTTGCACCGCTTTATCGGACTCCCATCACTATCAACGCGAAGCATCGATCAGCTGGGATACGCAACGAGGTCAAAGAAGTTATTGCACACTTACACGCAACTTACGAAACCATGTCAAATACCAATCTGAATGTTCTAAGACCACTAACTTGTAGCTACTCTTTAAATCTGTGTCTGAAAAAGAACTACTCAAGAAAAAAAAATACATAATAATAATGAAAACAAACCCTAATAATAATTATATTAATAATAATCATGATAACAGTAGTCATAATCATTTGGAAATGCAACAGGAACCCTCCTCCTTTAAAATTTTAGAATAAATGTTACGAAATGTCACCATCGAAAGTGTTACTGTTATTTCACTATTTAATTTTTTTCTTACAGATAAAATAAAAATAATAACATTATATGAGGAAAGAGACATAAGAGAATTGATATGTGGGTAAGTGTCTTTGTGTTTTATAATTGCCAGCGCGCCTATTATTGTTCCGTATTTTCGTTATAATTTATCGCTTTTTTCGGCGTTACGTAAAAAAAAATAATCAAATAAAAGGCGTTACGTAAGTTGGCAATTTATCATTTCCGGGCGACGAATAAAAATCGGAGCATATCGTGGACGGTTTTCGGAAAGGACGCCTCAGGCTCATTGTCCACTTCCACTTTCCTTCTCTCACATAACAAAAGCATATTTCTGATCCATTACATCGTCCTATTTCATACATATATATTTTTTTATTAATTCCTCGCCCAATGATCAATACCCAATTGATTAACAATAAATTAATTCTAATTAATTGTAAATCATCTTTCCTCTGCTAATTTCAAAAAAGATAATAATATTAATCCAAATTAGTTGTGAGGACAGATGCGAATCTTCAATTACGTTAAAAGGTTATTCTTTTATGGTCTTAATTAAATTACAATACGTAAGCGTAATTAGCGCGACTCTTCAATGAGCGCTAATTGTCGAGGTATGCGAAAAACCTTAATCCCAAACAAAACTGATCCTTGGACGGTTTTCGCCTTAATCATCTGCGTCTCAATTTAATCTCTCAAGTTTCTCTTCAATCAAGGACCGAATTATCATATAAAGTAAATACACACCGCAATTACTGATTAAATTGCATGCACTTACAGACTTTGTATACACGTTCAGCTCTTTAAGAAGCTTTTGTTTCTGATGCATAAGCGTAACAATTGTTACATCTCGCACTAACATAACACCACAGTAGCATTTAAATTCGTAATCAGTGATTTACACACCTTGAATTTATACAAATGTTGATGTTATGTATGTTATAACTTCAGTTTTCTGAAATTTTCTAAAAATAATATATAAAATCCTATCAGTTGTACCAACTACATCATATAATCAAGTTATTAAAGACATTTATGAATTTATTCACATGCACAGTGTGGATTCAGTATAATAATATAAAAAGTCGTACAGTTTCATATCGCATATGTCGTGATTATTAGAAACTTTACGAACATGTTTGTTGAACAGATGTAACAATCGATTTCGTACCTCAAAATTGGAACACCTTAATAAATCATCGAAGTGGCTGAGAATGTTCCTAAAATTAAGGACGAAATCAGAGTAGAAATCACGATTTGTTATAATAAATAGAATCATTTAAAAAAAACATATAAAAAAATATATATAACGGAGACGAAAAGTAACAGAAAACCAAAGCACTTTCGGTGACGTTAATTATTATTGGCGATCTCTAAAAAAGAAAGTAAAATCCGCTGGCCCAATGGAACTGGTTTACTTTTGGCCGATAGAAACAAACAAATAAATAAACATTTGTTATGAATGTGAAATTTCAACGACGAAAATAGAAACAATAAATTGCACGAAGCAAATTATTTTTTACCGGAAAAGAAATAATAATAACAAATGCGAAATTTCTTTTTGGATTGTCTTTTTTTGTAATTTTGTTGTATTATTTTCGCCTTAGAAATCCAATAAGTTTCGCTGCAATTCGAATACTGTACATACTTTGGTTTCTCCAAAAAGTCTTTGAAATTTTATAAATAAAAACTATAGTTTTAATAGTTTGCGGTTTTAATAATATCATTCGAACATAATTTAATTTTGATCCAGTTTCTATTTTTTTTATTCATTTCGTGTATAATTCCATCAAAATTAATTTGAAAAAAAAAGAAGTACGTAGAACGTTTCATCGCCTGGAGCAACCGACAGTTTTGCTTCAAAACTCAATGCCAGTGTACCAAACCTCAAAGTCAATGTTATAAATCTACCGAAAAAAAAATCATTTCTCTCAATAGAAAAGTTAAAGAATTTGTGAATATTTTAAATAAAAACATATGAAATGTTATTACAACAACAACAATCTCACAATTACGATTCAATATGAAAAGAGTAACAACTATTCACTTTAAACATGCAATCACGATAATGTTTCAGAATATACAAGTATATAGCAAGCAGAACAAGAAATATTTTACCTCAAATAATTACATGAAATACGAGTGTTCTACTTTCGTGACGTTACTTTTTCTTTCTTATATATATATATTTTTTTACATTTGTTTCTGTATTATTGGAGTCATATACGCGTGTGCAGTTTATCATTTATTTTGTGCTAAATGTCAGATCGAACAATGTAGAATGTACAAAAGCCTTAAGCATTTTACAAAATTAATGCATAAGTCAATGTCAGCCTCAATTTCAACCTCAATCTCAAAGTCAATGTTATTTTATTTAAAAGGTGGGTCCAACTTGAAGAAAAACACTTACATTTCTGTCATTTATATTTAATTAAAAAAATAATAATAATTTCTATAAAATATCAAAAATTCTCATGTCTTGTTAACAATAGTTTATCGTGTATTCTGCAGTAGAAATATAAACAAGTTACGTTATATTATTTCATTGAAATTCGTTATTACTGCAAGACCCTAATAATGATCTGGGAAAGTGATTATGTCTCATGAAATAAACCCAATGTGCAATGGGTAATTTAAAACCAATTTGCGCGTTCATTGATGATTGGAGTCTCCACACATTACAGTCCAATCCAATCCAATCCAATTCCTCGTTAATGCTCCAAAAGAAATTGGAAGAAAAAAAAAAGTATATATATATATATGAAAAAGTCCAAAGTTTTCTAATAAGGAATTGAGAAATAACTAAAAAAAATGTCGTTTCGGAACTATGGTTTTTAACCACATCCTGGATCGAGAAGACTCAACGAATCGTATTTATTTCTCGGTTTTAGTTCAATAAATTTTCGATTATGGAGGTGTGCAAAGTGCATCATACCAAAACCGCGCCTATGATTTCGGTAAAGATCATGGACCAATTTTCAACTTCCTCGATTCGTTTAAGAAGGTCTCCGCCAACGGAAAACTTCGATTACATCATGCTGTAGATAACCGTGTAAAATTGGTAGAAGGCGAGGAAATAATAAGAATAAGAAACGCGTAAATCAAACTGGACGCTTCGAACAGGATTTATTCTCGAAGAAGGTGTACCTTGTCCCATGAATATTTCCAATATAATATATTTACGCAGCTCGCCAATATTTTAAATACTTTATTGACCACGTGAGATCCAATAAATGTATTCGCATACATCGCAGGAGGTTGGAACTAGTGAAATATATTAGGTAGACTGGGTGGTCTCGTGGAGTGACCACATGTACCGCGCTATTATTTATATACTTCGATGGGTTCGCTCCCCACGCATATTGATGCAGAAAATACAACCATTACTCGTCTCTCGATTATGTTATTCCAATAGCAATTGCAATTTTAGTCTACAATAAAATATGGAAAGAGTATTTATTATTTTTTTTTATTTCATCCTTTCATATGAAACAATCGACAAAGGAGGCACTTCGCTTGTCGTAAACGGAAAGTCTTCTATCTCTGCGAAAGAAATAAAGCTACTTATGGTAAATAATAAATAAAGTCGAAACACAAGCAACATTTGTGAACATTTTTGCTGCACTCAGATGATTAATGTGCCTAATGACTGATTCCAACCGAGACACGAAAGTAGTTTATGTGCGTAACGCAACAAAAAAAAAAACATAGTAAAAGAACACAAATCGTTACGTAAATCGATTATAAATTACCACCAGACTCAATCAATTCATTAAATCTATTTTTAATTGTTATGTTTCCATCCAATTACGATTTTTTTTAAATAATTTAAGTTTTACATAAATAACATTATTTTCCTTCTTATTAAAAAAAAAATCTTAACGAATAATCATTTAAATAAAAACAATAATTAAACAAATTTAATTATAACAAAATTACTGTACTCTTTACATCTAGATGTAAATTTAATTTAATTGTATTTTTTGTTATAATTACAAAGTTTTGTTATATCATTTTTATTCGTTATTAATTCTACGTCTCTTTACTACTTCCCACAAATTTCGTTTTTACAACTAAGCTTCACGCAACATTAATATTAAATTTAAGTTATTAGCTTTATCGACTAAGCACCGAATGTTTAAGATAACAGCAGATTCACAGTCTAAGGAAATAGTGGAATTGCAAAGCATCAATATACTGTTGAATTTAACTTAGAAGACGACAGCCAACCAACAAATTAAAAATCAAATCATCATAATGATAACTATCCACCGGGAAAGATTATGTATAAAATTATGCGACATAAAAAATATAGCTTTATAAATAAATTTATTATTTCTTCACAATAATACACATAATTCACAGTAGAAGTTTAATTACAATTGTATTTTATTATAAATTCTACGAAGATTTTAATCAAATAATTTCTGTATTCAGACATTCTTACATAAGTTAATGATGAATTAATTTCTGTAACAAAATATTAGAGCAAATAGAATTTAAAAAAAAAGCAATAAAGTAATTTCACCATTATATTTTATAAATTTTATAATAAAATAAAGTCTATCTTTTTGTAACATCTATATTTCATATATGTATGATCATTATATTTAGTTCTAATTTATATGGGTTACCTAAAATAGGTATGTAGCTTAATTTGCAATAAGGAAACGAGGTAAAATAATGAGATTATTTTAAAAAAAGGTGGTGTGTCAAAACCCACGCTTCAAATAGATAGTTTTTTATTATTATTATTATGGTACCTACACAAATGAAATGGGAAAACTGCTCTCGAAATTGGTCGTTGCTAAAATGGTCTGCGGTAGGCGGAAATATGGAGAATCGCTCTATTAAAGGTAAGCATTGGTTCAAGGATTGGTTGGACAATAGTTGATACGTGAGAAAAAGTGCAATACGAAAATATGACTGTAATGGTGTACTTACAGTTATATTAAAATGCCGATCGCGTTCTAACCATAATGCGTATGTACATACATTATGAATGTCTAATTGGAGCGCAAAAAAAAATTGTTCCAAGCATAGAGAGAAAGAGAGCCGTTCCTTTCGATGGACTGGATGGAAGGCGGGCGAACATTTAGCATTTTTTTTTTCTGATTATGAAATGAATCGGAATGTGTATTTCACAAAAAAAAATGGTAGTAGTAATAATAATAAATATTTGCTGAAATGTATGAATTGGAGGTGAATGTGTTTCGGTGGATTGGGAAACGGAATTTCTGGATGTTGTTGAGATGAGTAATAGCAATTTGCATATGAATGTTGTTGGGAGCAAATTTTTGGCTGTTTCTCGTTGTAAATTAATTTTTTTATTTTTTTTGGTAATTTGCAATCGAATCTATGATTTGTATGCGATTGTGTGCTGCGAGTGTGTAACCCCGAAGGCAAAAATCCCAAGGTCTTGGTGGTTTTGTTAAGTGAATGCGTTACGGCGAAGGGAAAACACCAGCTCGATGGTGTCTTTGGTGGGGAACTTGGAAGTTTTCTCTTGCGGCCCCCACTGAGGCATTTCACTTAAGAACAACTTTTGATCAAGCACCGGCCCAGTCGGTGCGAGCACGAGTTGCGACTATAATCGTCGTCGCGTAATCACCGTCACATTTGGGGAGAATTTCTCGTTCCGGATACCATCATACATGGGGAAGTGTTCTTAGCTCCTGCGTGTGACACAAGTGCAAGGATTATTCAGTGTTCCTAAACGGACTTTGTCTCTATCCAAAATCAAATCCAAAATAATCAAAATAAATCCAAATTTCGCTACCAAAATATAATAGAAATTTCATTCCGTTCTCGTCCTGCGAATCTCCAAGATGAAACCGTTGTCGATCTTGGGCGCCGCTTTGCTGCTGCTCACCACTTCCGGTAAGTACTCTGAACTTTTGGCGCTATGTGTATTTTTTTGAACATTGTGCACACATTCGCTGCTGCATTTTCCCACCTTTAGAAAGCAAGGACATACCGGGAAAACTCGGCAAATCCTGATCCGTTATATGCCAAGGTTGCCGCAGGCTCGCAACTGCTCCTAATTAAGGCGGCTATATGGAGCGGGCCCTGACATTTTCGGATCAGAATTGTCCTGACGCATTTTACAATCGTCAAAACCGCAGATTCTTAACATGCACCCCTAAATAAGCAAAATAAAATAATTAACATTAAATATTTACTATTGTAAATTACCAATTAAGAAAATAATAAAATTTGTCTAAAAGAATATCTTAAAAAACGAATTTACAGATTTTTTTATAGAATTTTATCAAGAAACAATAATTGATCAAAATGATTAATTATTTAATAAATATATATTATTTTCCTCATTTTCAATTAATGTAATTATTTTTAATATTAATTATGAAATTTTTAGATTATTTATATATGTTTTCTTCGAATTATATAGATTTATATAAAAAATAATCATTTTAACAAAATTGTTAATAAAAACAATTATTTGTTTTTTTTTCTTTTAGAATCATATTTAATTATTTTAGTAATTAAAATAGAAATTACATAAAGTAAAGTAATTGTTAAAATAACAATTTAATAAAAAATTCTATCACTCTAAATAAATAAAAATTATCAATTAATAATAATTGATTTTATACAAACTACTTTCACACATATTAATTACAATTCATGAACCACATAATAAATTACATTAAATAATTCAATATTATTCTTTTTACTGTTGCGTACATAATATATGTAAATATGTATCAATTACAAATGATTTTAATTAAATAATGATTAAAGTTAAACAAATTTTCTCTAATTCAATTGAAAATAATAATTAAATTCTTTAAACTTTAAATTTATATATTATATATCTTTTTTTTTATCAACAAAAATAAAAATAATGATACAATGTGTTTATTTTTAATATATGTAAAATGTATCTGAGAAGAGATCATAGAAAGTGAGGAAAATTGTAGAAATGTGAGACTTTCCAAGATCTAAATCAATATTGCAAAAACTATAAATTAATAATAATATATTGAACTGTTTTATTATTGTTTTCACTATTAACATTTAGTTTATAAATAATTGAAAATAAAAGTTGTTAGATTTTTGTTAATAAACAATTCAATTATTATATATTTTTATTAATGTTTACTGATTTTTATATTTTTTGTGGAATTTTGAAATTTTATAAATTTTTAAGGGTGCATGTGATTTCTTTATAAGAACAGTGGTTAAACGAAGGAAAATAGTCAGAACAATTCTACAAATTGCAGACAAAGGATGCGATGAGCGCATCTTGTTGTATAATATACCTGTTGGTTAATAGTCGCGCGATCCCAAGCATCTTCAGCTCAATTAACAATCGCTTTTCGAAACCTCTTCACTCTTTCTCGCCCATTGTCTGAAATATTGCAACAAAATCAACAAATCGTGGGCTGAATCGGAATTGTTGCTTCTTAAAAAAAATAAACTAGTACTTATAAACACGATTTGCGCAAATTGATTGAACGTTTGCACGGTGCCAGAGCCGTATATCATTCGGCAGCGAACATTTATTGTAGCGAATATTTTAATGGACAACACACAAATCGTAACTTTCACCTGGAGTTTCTACAGTTTAAGCGCAACCGATTTGATATTTCTTCGAACATTAATAATGCTATTATTTTATATTTTTTTTGTTTTCTTCATCTTTCTTCGCAACGATTCCGATGATGCAATTAGACTATAATTTATTGGGATCGTTTCTTGCAAAATATCACAAAACAATAATCCACAATTTCTGAAATACTCCATTGTTTTTATTTACTTATTTTACTCTGAAACAAAACAATTCAATACGCAGGACAACTCAATTTCCATAGTAAAACTCTAAGTGAAAGATAGCAATATTTATTGCTCTCCGCACAATAGGCTATTGAAGTCTTTCTGAATGAAATCTTCAATTGTTCCTTTTCTTTGATAAAATTTAAACCATCTCTAAAACAATTATAGATAAATTTCGTAAAATAAAGGAAATTCTTACATTTTTAAAATATATTATTTATAGTGGTTTTATTACTTTATAAAATCACAGCTACTGCATCAACTTATCCACGAAAAATAGTAAAAGGCTATCGATCAAAGTCCTCAGAATTTTAATTTCGCTTAACATTATTTATATTGATTGAAGAAATTCGCAAAAAAAACAACAACTCTAATAGTATGTATAAATCTTGAATAAAGAGGATGCAGATCTAATAGTTAAGTGTTTTTTTTTTGTTTTGAGTCTATTTCCAATCCCGTTAATGGAATAAATTTCCGGATTTAAAGAATTAGCATATTCCAATGAATTACAAACGTCCATAAATTTGCCAAAAAATAATACTAATACTACTAATTAACACTTTTTCTACTACGTATATTCATTTGTTACATGTCCGATTCGAACATATGTTCAATTAATTTAAATACAAAGTAACAAAATGTCAGTGTTATTTTCTTTTAACAGCTCGTTAAATTGACGTCTTAATGGTTCTGGTGTCAAAAGAACATATGCTATTTAAAGTTAATTGAATATTTTAAAAGACTAATTAGAAACATATCAAAGTCAATTGCATGAACTAATGGTAGATTGACCTTTAGAAACGCAAGACAATTAAATGGTTCAGTAGTAGAAAGGAGACGATTTATAGTAACAAGTTGTAACATTAATTAACATGCAAGGACTTTGAGGTTGAGGAAAATCTAAAGAAGAATATTTTACGTCTTGTTATATAATATTATTTTATGTCTTCATTAAGTGGATATAAACAAAGCAAATGACTTTTATTGCCAAGCTCAAATATCAAATTAATTTTGATGACAATCTTCAATTACTCTTGACCCAAATCCACAGATTTGTTCGTCTTAATTATGACAATTCTCCAATTGTCTTCGCACCGTAGCTATTAACCTTCAGAAAACAACGAGGATTCACTCGTTTCCATTCATTTATTGTTTTCTGCTTCCTTTTTAGTTATAGAAACTACACCAATATCCACAAAAAAACAATTTTTTAAAGACGTTTCGCATTTATCAAATGTTATACAATTTGTAAAAATTTCCACACGCAGTAGATTGAATAATGGTGCGACTGATTCAATTATGTAAGAGCGTCGAGAGAATTCTATTTTTCACTTCTTTTTTTTTTGTTTGTTGCCGGCGTTGCTGGAAAGTTAATTAGAGTCTTGGACA